TAGCGGATTATATATAGTAGGATGGTAGATACCCGGTTATATTTGGTGATGAGAAATGTCAAATCAGAAAGTACAAAGAGACCGGTACTCGCCTAGTGTACACTTCTCTCTGAGATAGAGTAGGCGTGGCATTTACACATGGCATGGAATGAGTACTCGTGGAGAAATTCCAATTTAGGACAACTGCCGTCTTGTTCAACGTCATTCGTCGTCCAAAGTTCAGTGTTAGACAGAGACATGACCACAACAGTGTCCAAATCACGTTATATCTCACTAAAAGTACAGTCACCGCCGCGTTAGTCGATGTACGCAGCCACGCCTACTTCATCTCGGGGATTTCGAATGTTGCTACCCCCCCCCCCGAACCAATGCTTCCAGCTGAACCACTCATCAAGTTCCCATTTATTTGTGTCCTGTTCCTGAGCGAACCAGAATCTATATTTTATTTCAGCATTTTTTTCATATCGTTGTTATTCTGGAAACGAACATATGTACGTCATTCAGGAGGTCAAAACAACGTATTGCGATTGCAAGAGCGTTGGTTCGGAATCCTGTAGTGCTGATTCTCGATGAGGCGACATCAGCGTTAGATGCAGAATCTGAAGCTCTTGTTCAGGAAGCATTAAACAGGTTATCTTTTAGATATTATATATTTTTATCGGTAGTCTTGTCTTTCACTGCACTACTTCACACAAAAAGGATCCTTAACAAGGCGGGATATGGTAAGATGTGTCAGAAGGCGTCGATCGAGCCCAGCGCTGGCCGCGCCTCCTACATCAAACAGCGTTAGAGCTCCACGACGCGCCAAGATCGCAAGAGCGCTCAGTGTATGGGAACGCAGCCGTGGACGAGTATCGACTATCGCCGCTCGCTAATGTTTGTGAGAGAGTAGGATCGAGTAGTGTTTTGGAGGGTATAGGGGTAGAGGGGCGAGAGGGGAAGGGGGGGGGGGGACGGTCAGAGTATGTGCTGTCTAACCACGCCTCTGGTACCCTGATATTTCCCTATAATACTCCAAAACACTAGGGCGTCAGACTTCGCGTGACGCGCGTCATCGCAGTCTCAAAACTACCTAGTTGCCGCTTCGGACTGAGAACTACTAGGAGAGAACGCGGATGCCGCTAGGCTCGATCATCACGCACGCAGCCGTGCCCTCTCCACCTCTGGGATGTGGAGTCTGTGAGCTGTTTGAGTGCTTATCCGTCACTCTTGCGCACTTTGCCACACACACGCACACACACACACACACACACACACACACACACACACACACACACACACACACACACACACACACACACACACACACACACACACACACACACACACACACACACACACACACACACACACACACACACACACACACACACACACACACACACACAGTGTTTTGCGACTTTTTTGGGGTTGTATTATAGATGACCTCATATTACCCTTTCCTTATTCCGTGCTTTTCCAGGGCACATCGCTGTTGGGGATACCCTAACAGAAGGGAACGTACTTGGTCTGGGAAAAAATGTTTCATTTTTCTATTTTCAGGGACGTTGTAAAGGGGTAGGGGTCGTATTTGCCTCGTTGTCGAGAGGGGAGTCGTATTCGCCTTTCACCTCCCGAGAAAGGTTGCTGAAGTTTCGTGGGTTTCCCGTTCCACATGTACTACTTACCCTTCACCTTCACAGCTCGATCAGAGGGAATCAGGGGGAACCTAGAACCAAAAGGCCTGCTGGAGGTCGTACGGAATCGACCAAAATCCCCATTTAATGATGTGCCCTGTAGTTTTCGGTTCTATTCATGGGACTATGTGGTATGGTTTGCATGCAGTTTCTTCTTTTCTGAATCGGACTTTATGGACTGCTTAAGGTGTGCACGTGAACGTACTGTAATAATTATTGCCCATCGACTGTCAACAATCGAAAAGGCGGATCAAATAGCTGTCATCAATAAAGGAAGATTAGTACAGGTTCGTTTATTCCAAAAGAAAAAAACGTCATATTAGGCAGGTGTATGGATTAGTGGACTCTTGTAATCGTACTCGTATTATGTGTTTATTAAGCATGCCATCTTTGCGCTTACCAACGTTCATCTTCTCTTTAGCGTTAGTTCCGCGCTGGCGCATAGTCCGTCATTCATGGCGCTGCCGCTTTTCCCATCCAATATAGTTTGCCATTGAATTAACTTCAGTGACGTCAGTAGTGGTGACGTCCCTCTACTTCTGAGCTCCTCGTTCGCTTGCCCTATGATTCAAGATCCAACTCTGCTCTGATTATCGGGTGGTTCACAGGCCTTCTCACTACATGCCCATACTGCCGTATCACTGCTCTCGCGCCTTCAGCCGGGTCAGGAGCGGTCTGTGTGACCGCCCTGATGTCCTCGTTTCTGGCTCTATTTAGTCGTCTTCAGCCGCAAGCACGTCTCAGCGTTCTCATTTCGGCTGAGTACATAGAGCTGCCATCATGATTCCTGCACACGCGCTGCCGTAGATCGCGACATCACACGCAGACTATCCATGTATTACCTATCTTGTTGACTAGATGCCTGCCACATCGAGTCAGTTGTACTATTGTGCGAATATCGCGCACGCGGCATCATTTGCAAGCGTCCCTTGCCGCTCTCGCTGCCATCGTAAATGCTATACACCCGAGGAGGTTCGCTGCGCCATGTAGTCACTTAAACACAGCTCCCACGATCAAGTGATCCGCGAAATCAATCGAGCATTTGGCATCGTTGTCGCGCTCGCAGAGAATCTACCACTTTCGCCACTCGCAGAGAATCTACCACTTTCGCAACTCGAAACGGCTGTAACGAAGCTAGAGACGCGAGAGTATTGCAACTTTTGCAACCACGATTATTTTTCCTGCAAGACAACGGCTTACAAGCGGAATTGCGTGTACATACCGTTGCGTGGGGCGTCGTAGGCCATTTACTGTGCTTTTGCCGAGAATCGGTTGCACGTCGAATCCTACTCATTGGTCTTGGTCCGACGCCCGACAAACCCATCCAAGGCGCCTCCCATTGCCAAGGGGTCCCTGTTCCCATTTTCCTCCTCTTCCTTCTGTACTGTTACTTATGGGCTACTGGACCATGATTGAGTACCTACTACCCGTTACACATATCGTGGGCAGTTTCTAATACGAAAAGCATGTTAAAAGAGACGTTAGTCACCGCTTTCAGACTGGAAATCACTCTCAATTAATGGCAGATGTCAACGGGTTATACTATTCATTAGTATCGAAACAGATTCTCTCGTCAAAAATCAAAGGAAATAGTATGGAAGATCTCATGAAGTAATCCCATAGGTGATCTCCTCTTTAATTCATTTGCTTCTGTTTTGGTGGAAAGGCTCGAATGTTGTATTCATTGTGTGTTGTATTCGTAATTTTTGACTGTTTTATATAATTCCACTTTATTTTACGTAAATGCGGGGTTCAGAGCAGGTTTTGAAAAAAAAGTGAATAATTTGAAGTTCATTTCCATCGGTTTGTCAATTCTCTAGGTTTATGAAGAGCTTCCAATTCCCAAGTAATTGCTTGGATTTCTTATTTAATATATTTCTTCGAGAATCGTCTAGATAATTAACGTGGTTCCATACCTCATGCTCCAATGTGGGTTTAGAGATGCATATTAAGTAAAGCTGGTAGTTCGTAATCAGATATTACATAGTAAAATTAGTATTACCGTTGTTAGAGGGTGAATTCGTAGCTCAACAACAAAATGTTGTACTTGGTGTATATGTGGATACTCGTCTGCATGCTGTGATCAACGCTCTTTTGTCCTTAATTAAAATTAAAGTAATAATTGTTGTCTGCAAGCTTAATAATAAATAAATATTTTGCGCTGACTTTTTCTAATTGGTCGAAAATGGATCTCCATCAGAATTTTTTTTTCGTGGCATTTCACAGAAAAAATGACGAGATACAGTCGGCATCCCGGAGATGGGAGGGCGTGGCTGCGAACTTCATTTGAACTGTACAGCGCTTCTGAGGGTATGTCGATGTATGGCTCAACTGTAGTTCTGTTTTCGGGCAGCACGAGATAGTGCGAGTTGAGTTAAACAGAAGCAAAACGTTTTATGATGATAACTGCTTTTTTACGCCGCAGTACGCGTTCCGAAAGTTATCACAAGAATGCTGAGTTATGGGCAAAAGTCGTGCCCCAGGCGGGAGTCGAACCCGCACCTCACGCTTTCCGGGCGAGTGCGCTATTCCGTTACGCTAATTAAAGGCTACGGCATATAAACTTCGTGGGTCAAACGCCTTGTGGTATGCGGCACGCACTCTCCTTGCATTGAAAATAGTAGTGGTTATTGTATAGTCTAGGTCTGAGGGTTCCATCCCTCAGACCTCCCCAATACTACTGCAGAACAGCGAATACCACTCAATCTTTATTAGTACACCCCCAATATGGGGAGACAGCTGAATAAGGTGACGGCGTGCTGGCGGCGACGGCACGACAGACGGGTGGCCGCATCCGGTCGTGCGGCTGGCGGTGGCAGGCGAAGACCCCGTATGAGTCACACGGCATCTTATATATCCGGCGCGCACGTGGGCGAATCCTGCAATGACGAAGCTTAAGCAAAGTCACTGTTCAGCTTACCATTAAGTTCCCATCTACTAGACAACCCAGAGGCTTACACCCCAATTCACCCAAAAACTTCCGTCCTCGGACGTTGTAAGTGCCCCGGGGGGGGGGAAGCTCGTGAAGAGAGAAAAAAGAAAAGCCCCAAATCGATCCACCAAAAAATAGTAAACGAAGAATAATTGGAAATAGCCCCATGAATCGAAAGTCCCAATGAAAATAAAAAGATC